AAGATTTCATTTCAAAAGTAAATTCCACTCTGTTTTGTGGAGCTGACTGCTCAATTATCTGTAAAAGTTGATTTCTAGTTGATTACAGAATAATACCCAGCAGGATGGGTGTTATGCTGATAAAAGGAAGTTTAATTCTCAGGGGTGAAATCAATTTAGGATAGAAAGTTCAGCTTTCTCCAACAGAGTCTTCTGACTTTCTCTCATCCTCCACAGGTTCAGAATTTCATTTCATAATTCCACAAACTTCTGGTTAATACCAGTGAAAAACAACTGTAGTGTGATTAAGAACATTATTTCTCTATATAACTAGAGACATCCCAAAATGCTAAATTACAACCTGCCATAAAGTTACTATTTCAGAGTTAATGCACAGCATCTTTCAGAGACAAATGGGCATCATCTCCCAGAGTGTGATCTTCCAAACGTTTACACGTGAAACGACTACAGTATTTGCAGTCCGGTGGTTGAGGCTGAGGGTTAGAGGATGCTTCCATTCTGCATCCCGTTGCCCCGGTATTAAGCAAATGCAGAGAATATCAGCTAGGCTTCTCACACACGCTTCCAGTTGATATTTACACTACAGTGTGTCAACTGGGGTCCTCCAACACGGAGGCCCCGTTCAATATTATTAAGCAAAGCATCAGCCGGCACAACTGTGTAGATCAGACCAAAGCTCATGACTAAGGAGGCAGCCCCCCAAACCGATTTAAAAGTAAAGGAACTCCGTCTTACCGAACGTCGCTTTCTCCTGAGGGATTCTGATCCCCAAGCCCCCCACCGCACGTTGCGGCTGTCAACCGGTTCATCTTCAGCGTAGCCCGGAAAACCAAAAGCGGCCGAGAGAGCAGCAAAAGGGGCGCCTTCTTCCACGTGTGCGGAGAAAGCGCAATCGCCGCGTTTGTAACGGGCGCCAGAAATGAAACGCAGCCTTCCCTGCCCCAATCATTGGTCCGGGCCATGTTACCGGCTGTTTTCAAATCTGACGACAGCTACTTCTTCATTTGTTAAATGAAACAGGAAGCTTTTCTCTGGGGGCTGCGCGCAGCTCTTTTTCACTGGTCCCATTTTCTGAAAACGTATTAAGCAAAGATGTGTTTCCCCGCCGTTTATTTTGGGAAGGTTTCTCCTTTGCAAGCAGTGCACCCCAGTCCTGACAACTTTTATTCACGTGCAGATTTCAGGGGAGAACGAATGTGTTTTGGGAAAGTGGAAATTGCTGCTTTACGGAACCGTAGGTACGTATTTTTATACCGTCGTATGAACACGAGTTTATTTCATGGTTATTACGATGGCTGGTCGCACAGTCAGCCAGATGTTTACACCGGATTTGGCATTGTTTGTCCATCCTGTCAAGGACCCGGGATAGGCAGGTGTTGTTTAATATTAAAGCTATCGTGGTAGGATGCAAGCTGTTCCAAAAAAGCTGCTTTTTGCAATTGAGCTATGGTATTATATATAATGATAGATATTACTATTAGTACTACTTTTGCTTTTTTGCAGCAGTGTTCTACTTCTGCTTGCAGGTGTTTGCATTTTGTGGTTTTCTCCTGTTCTTTCTCTTCTCTTCTGATGTCTCCACTATCCAGACTTTTTGTCTGACTTATCCACAATTGTTAAGTCTTGAGTGTTGTGTGGCAGATGTGTTGTCTGAATGGTAAAATCCCAGAGCGCTTTTACCTCTTCATTTTCTATTCATCTGTTTTGTGGTCCCATCAATTCTTGTTTACAGGCAAGTGATTATTTCCTACAGATACGCCTGTGCAACATAATTGTGTCATGACATGTGTTTGTAATCACTGTGTGCTATCTTTTTTGCAGCAGCTTACTATTTGGTGGATTGTTTGCTTTTGCTATTCTGTTGCTGTTTTCTTAACTCTGGTTTTTAACTCTGGTCTTGTGCAGTAAGAATTAGCCCCTCTATTATTATTACGGTTCGTATTATATTTTTATCCCACCTTTGTATGAATATATTTGGTCAACACAATATTCTTGATGCTGTTTTCCCCACAACAACCTTGTGAGTTGGGATGGGCTGAAAGAGCTGCCTTCCATGCCCAGGGGTGGCTTCAAACTTAGGTCAGCATCTTAACCATGACAGCAAATTGGTGCTGTCTTTTTATTGCTCTCTCTATAAAAATAGAAGAAATCTATTTTATGTATTTTAAGAGTACATGTACAAAACCCTTTTTGGGTGTTTTACACATTTCTTCCCTATTTCGCAGACATTTTCCACAAATAGTAGCAAATTGAGAATACATACAGTACTTGGTTACAAACTTTTGACATACAGTAGGAAGGCATAATATTGGAAGAAGTGGGAGGGAATCTTGTATATCTTCAGTAGGTAAATATCAGACTCACTGGCTGAATTAAAGCAGCATGCAAAGCCTCAATATGGCTTGTGGCTTAATGCGTTGTGAAACCAGCAAATATGATTTGTAAATTATGTTTTAACATTATATATAAACCTGTAAAATTATTGGTTTCTTTGCTAGGTTTATAGATCTTTGTTTTAAATAGGAGGTCAAATGGAGGGGGCATCTTAATATTCCATCTATTTTTCCCACAAGAAGCTTGTGGGGTAGGTTGATCTGAGTCATCTGATGAGCCTTTATGATTGTTGGTAGACTGAAATCAGTTCTAGTAACTAATATAAAATTCTAGAAATGTAAGAAACGTGTTTTTAATTGCTTTCTATTCTTTTTTTCTATTTTCTTTTCTTTTTTCTTTTCTTTCATTTGTGTGTGTGTTGTTGGTTTGTTTTAATTGTAAAATTAATAAAATTTATATAAAAAAAGAAACTCTGATTTATTTGGAAATCACGATTAAATGAATGAAGCCTGAATGAATAAATGTGTATAATATTGTACTATCTCGCTTGTAAAAAAAAAATAGAAATAAATGTTCATCACTCAATTTTTGGGCATGTAATAAGAGCTTTCAGCTTCAGTTAATATTAGTAGTACTTATTTATTTAGAGTAATTAAGCCCTAATAAGGTGCAAATAAGGTCACAAAATGTGTTCACAAGGCCCTGAGATACTGCAACTGGCATAAATACATGCCAGTTGCGAAGTATCCAAATTTTGATCCTGTGATCATGGGGATGCTGCAGTGGTCATAAGTGTGAAAAATGTTACATTTCAGTGCTATTGTAACGATCACTAAATAAATGATTGTAAGTCAAGGACTATCTGTGCAATTCCAGTGCTCTGGGAAGAGCGCTTTAGTGTGTATTCCTGCACTAACAAAGACTTGACTCTTAAGGAATTACATGCATAAGTGACCACCATCAATGTTGTCTTTTTTTATAGGTGGTCCACAACATACAACCATTTAACTGTTTTGAAGTTACAATGACACTGAAAAATGTTACTTGCAACCCATTGTCACTTTTAAATTCCTCACAGCATTCCTACTGTTGCATGATTACAATTTAGCCACTTGGCAACCAGCACATATTTATGACAGTTGCAAAGTCCTGGGTCATGCAATTGCCATTTGTGATCTTCCCAGCTGGCTTAAAGGGGAGGATGTCAGATTCACTTAATGACCACATGAATCAATTACCAACCTGTTCTGACCCAAACCTTGTTCCAAGGAAACAAACACGAAACAGAGGTTAACAGCAAAACCTTTTAATGATTCTTTATGAATTCCGTTCCTTCACGGTTAAAAAGCTGTTTCAAATTGTCTCTGATAAGAATGAGCCTTGCCAAGGTTGTGCAAGGCTGCCAAGAATACTAAAGTTACTAAGAAATATTTCAAACACAAAGAGTCTCCAAATACCAACCAAGATACTCCGAACGTTCACAAGGCTTGAGTGCAAAAACTTATTTGCTTCCTGCAAAGAAGTCGTTTCTCAGCTGGCTTTTATCTCTTAAGGGAGGGGCAGCCTTACTCCCGAGTTACCCCTGCTGCTGCAGCTGCTCTTTCCTTCCAGTAGCCCTGCGTGCATGTGCACTGGGCACAGGCTCCTCAGGAACCTCTTCATCACTGCTGCCAGCTTCCACAATCTCTGAAGGCAGCATTCCACTCCCTGATGGTCCTGGCCCCATCCCTGCATCACACACGCCCCTCATCCGAGTCCTCGCTCTCGGAGACCTCAGCCATCTGCACCTGCTGCCAGCAAACCACAACACAACCATGGCAAAAAGAATTCGGATGAGATTCATTTAACAACCATCTTGCTTAGCAACAGGAATTCTGGCCCCAATTGTGGTCGAATTGATGTGTATGGGTAAGTTGAAGACTACCCATATACATCAATCTATATTGTGTGTTTGGGTTTCGTGGCAATACAGGGCATGAAGTATTGGAATGTGGAGTTATACAGCACAATCCAGGTTTTATATAGTTCCTACTTCAATTTAGCTGATGTTGTGCAATTGTGGTTGGTGCTCTGGAGGCCTTAAAGAAAGTTCCAAGACTGCCCATTCTTCTAGGTTTAATTATTGCTTTAACAGCAGTTTGTGGTTTCATATCCCAGTAGGACATGTGGCAAATGTCATAGTAATATATAGACATAAGGTCTTCCATGAACGAAGTCTTCCATCTGATTTTTGAAACCTTCCAGTTGTAGTCTTTAACAGTTGTGAAGGGGGCATGCGCCCGCTCACATTTTTGGCGAACCGGTTGTTAAAGTACATGCAGCCCACCTCTGCCCAGATGGAAAGATAAACCATTTAGCAAATACTCTTTTTGAATATTGACAGAACATAGAAGTAGCACAGGACACTGCCTATGTTACTATATTACTATATTTTGCATTACATTTGAGCAATCTGAGACTTTGGAAATTGATATGGAAATATTTCAGACAGTGAGATGAGCTCCTTTGGTGTCTGCATTTCTCCCACTGGCGATTCAAAACCATCACTTTTGTGTGTATGTTGTTTGTTACAATTAGACATAATTAAATGCCATTGGCCAAAGAATGCTGCACTGCATGGATCTGATATTTTACTTCCAGGTGGTCTATTGTTCAAGTTTATCACCAAGACGTTTTTTTTGCAAACAAATTTTATTTACAAAAGTAGATGTATTAATTTGCACTGGCATGTCAGCCATCCAACAATATATAAACTTCTCTTGATCGCTCTGAAAACATAAAAAGGGAATGGAAAAATGTGTTAGATGTAAGTTTGTGAACTTGAAAGCAAAGCTGTATCTTTGCTATGTATCTTTCATTGCATCTCAAATACCACACTGGTACTGTGTTTGGTGTCTCAGATAAGTCAATCTTGTGTAATTGCTTTCACAAAGTCATTGCCTGTGGATTTCCCAGCAAAAGAGGCGCAAGCCTCAGCAGTGCACGAACTGGCATCTTCAGTGGTTTGAATTTCAAGAGGAGCTCAGAAAAATTTGTACTACCTAGAAAATATTTTGAGAGAAAACAATTTTCCAGTTGTAAGAACATACATACAAAAATGCTGTGTTTAGAAACAAAAACAGGTAGTCCTCGACCTACAACAGTTTGTTTAGTGATCGAAGTTATAACGGTACTGAAAAAAGTGACATATGACTGTTTTTCACATGGCCTTTGCTGCACCCCATGATCACATGATAAAAATTCAGACGCTTGGCAACTGACTCATATTTATGATGGTTGCAGTTTCCTGGAATCATGCAATCACCATTTGCAACTTTCTGACAAGCTAAGTCACTGACAAGGCCAGATTCACTTAACAACCGTGTTACTTAATAACTGTGGTGATTCACTTTAAGGATTGTGCAGAAAAGGTCATAAAATGGCGCAAAACACAGGCACCCAATAGGCACATTTTGACAGAGTTCAAATAGATCTGACTATGACTTAATACATTTAGTGTACGGATAATCACATCACCATGCTTTAAAAATTATGCTTTATGCCTTCTCTAGCCTATTGGGTTTTATTCATCCAACAATATTAAATGGTGACAATGAATCTAGTCTTCATCTGGTAAATTCATTCTCTCTCTTGCAAGAGGTGAGGTATGCTTCAGAATGCAATGAAATTCTACAATAGTTATTTAATCAGGGGTGGGATTCAAATTTCTTAACAACCAATTCTGTGGGCGCAGCCTAATTTGTGGGTGTGGATTGGTGGTCATGTGACTGGGTAGACATGGCTTGTATGTAAATATTATAAATATTTATGTAAATATTGAATTTTTTATTAAAAAAGAGCAACTTTTACCCAAAATCAGGCAAAGCAGGCAGGCAGATTGAGTTGCTCACAGAATCACAGATTCACTCAGAGATCTATCTTTCTGCCATCTGCTGAGTGTCACATAAATTTTCTTGCAAGCAAACTCACAAAATTAACTCACAACACACCAACTTTGTAAATATTGAATTTTTTATTTTAAAAAAAGAGCAACTTTTACCCAAAATCAGGCAAAGCAGGCAGGCAGATTGAGTTGCTCACAGAATCACAGATTCACTTAGAGATCTATCTTTCTGCCATCTGCTACCTGAGTCTACACTGAAAAATAGAAACTTCAGTCCTAAGGAAGGTTCAGCTCTGCTTTTAGATTAGCTAGAAAGCAAGAAATCCAACTATTTCCTGCTTTCTAGCTAATCTAAATCTCCCAGCACAGCAGAAGAGCTGATGGTCGGAGGGGGGGGGGGAGGAAAAATAGCAACTTACCAAACTGCAGGCAAGTTTGATGGTGCGCATGCCAGCTAAGGAGGGAGTGGGTGGGGAGGGGAGGGGCCAGGCAGTGGCGCTATTTGCCAGTTCTCCGAACTGTGCAGAATCGTAACAACTGTTTCTATAGAACTCTTTGGACCAGGTAGAATTTACCAGAAATGCTAAGACCTTCATCTGAAAGCTGAGACAGCCACTGAGCTAAAGGGATAGAAAGTCTAAAGTAATACAAATCAGTAGAATTGGAAACTGTTCCAAATAATATGAGTTTCCTTAGTGTTAAAATATTTTTAAAAGAACCAAAATGGCAAATTTACCTTCCAAGCCTCCAGCTAACAGTTGTCCTGGAATTGGGACTGAATGATATGTAAGGAAACACGCCAACATACTTAATTGAGATTCATCAATAAGTTGTCCATTTAAATAGGAATGTAAACAAATATCACCGCCAGCTGAAATACACACAAGGGAGATATTTTAAGGGATAAAAATGGAATCTGCACCAAATACTGGAAAATAGAGTTGTGTTCAAAATTCTAGCAAACCAGCTAACTCTGTGATATTTCATACCATTCACTATCATTTTCTCTTTCTTCTCTCAATTATCAGTTAAAAAGTATTAATTATGGATTCCACATCATTAATAGAGGAGCACCTCTTATTTTTTTCCAAAGTGTGTTTTTTCCTTTGGCTAATCTTGGAACTGCCTTGTACTACTGATACTTCCCTCATATGCCTATGCCTCCATCTTTACTATAAACCAATAGAAAACTGAGTTTGTTATTATCACGTTAATTTTCTTCATTTCTAGGATAAAAGTCAAAATTAAGGTAGAAACCATTTTCATTTTAAAGAACTTATTGTAGCCTTCTACCAAAATAAATAATGAAAGCTTTACCTTGCAGCCACTGATCCAAGGTATTATCTATAGAACATTTCATCACAGGTAAAAATTCTGAATTCATGAAAAGACCTGCATGTGGATTTTTCCTTATTCTTTCCTGATGACTTCTGGAATTAAAAAACTCTAGAACCAATTTTATCTGCCACAAATCAAATGTCTCAGACATTTCCTTTTTTTCTAATCTTCTCACGGCCTAGCACAAAAGGAAATGAAGATGGAATTAAATTAATACAGTAGGGGCAAAGGAGTTACGTGTAAGATAATCATCAGAAGGTAATAATGTTTTGCTGAATTTGATTTTCCTCAGATATATGTTTGTTATATATAATAATGGAAACTTGCTGAATTCTAGAAGGCATAAAAATAAAGTGTGACAATAAACGTAGATTGCAAATGCACTTAATGTTTGTTTTCTTTAAACTAGAAAATAAGCATATGCATGAATAAGAATACATGCTGAGGAGGAAAAAATACCTGGTCAATTGCTATATAAGCTGGCAACATCTCTGGATTCTCCTGAGTAACACACTCGTACAGAATCGATGAAAAGAGGTCAAAAACTTTCTGTTTCTGAAACAAGAAAAACGTATTTTACAAAGCATGTCAACTACGGTTTTAAACATTTGTGCTTTTTTCTAATTAGTCCAATTCAAAAACATATTTGGAGACCTTTCCAAAATTTCTGCACAACAGAAAAGTATTTTATGTTTTATACTGTACATAGAACACAGCATTCAGTTCAATTATTTTCCATCTATAGACTTGAATTATGTGTTCTTCTTGGATCCCAATATCAGAAAGCTAAAATTAAATGCAAAATAATGAGTCCCTTATTCATTTATTTAAAATGCAATGTGTGTATAGATATTAACTATTTCATCATGGTTGTGAACTATTTTAGGAGAAACCAATTCCCTTGTCATTTTCACAGCTTCGGTGATGAAGTCATTGGTGACTTGGCAATCACATAGATCAGGAGTGTCAAACTCGCATCATCACAGCGTTGTTAAGTGATGCATCACGACTTTTTTCCCCTTTACTAAACCAGACATGGGCGTGGCCAACGGGTGGTGCATCTGGCCCGCAGGCCGTGAGTTTAACAGCCCTGACATAGACATTCTCCATTATGCCCCTAACCTGGTCTTTTAAGTCTTCCAATTATGCTCTCATCACCATTGTAATTAAATCTATTCACTTTACTGCTGATCATCCTCGTTACTCCCTATGTCTTTGACTACAGTTCCCATAATTTCTGGTCAGCATATCCTCTGGCTGCCAATTATGAAAACTGTGGCCCAATACAGCTGGGAAATCCAGGTTGGATAAGGATGATCTATGTCATTAGATACTTCAGAATTTTTGACCAATATAACCAGTTCCCTTACACACCCTCCCCCATTTTCCCAGCTAGGTTTACACCTGACAACGTACTTGCCCCATAGCTGCAGCTGGCTTGCAAAAATACTCTGCAAATGAAAGCAGCGCTGGATCAGATGTGAAAGCAGAAATAGCTTCTGGCTAAAAATAAAACGATATTTGAAATTAGAAGATTTCCCTTTTTTGGTTGCAAACTATACTTTATGAGAAAGTACATTTTACACCCGCCGCACCATCAGTGTCTTGGTAAGAACTTCTTGAAAAATACTCATGCTTTCATCTCCACATGTTTAAACTAGTAGAGTACACTCTGTGTGGTGCTACAGTCAGTACAGATTACAGTGATCTGGCTGCTGATGCCCAAGATGCACTTTGACAACATAGCACCTCTTTTTAAGCCATTGCATTAGTAATCTATAAACTTCCAAGCCCAATTCAGAATAGTAGTTATTACATATAAAGGTCTACATAGTACTATGTTGGACATGATATATTCAAAATTATTCTTCCTGTCCCATGAGATCATGAGACACTAACCTTTCAAGAGCTGGGCTCAGGGGTGGGGTTTTCCTGTGGCAGTTCCAATCCTCCATAATTCTCACCATCAGAGTTATCTCTGCCCTCCCCCTCAAGCATTCCACTTCTGTTATCTAGGTGCAATTCAAGGTGCTGATTATTAAACCCTATATGACTCACTCAGGCCCTTGGGATCATAGAGATAACCTCTAACAAATTAACAGAGTTGGAAGGGACCTTGTAGGTCATCTAGTCTAACCCCGCCGCCAAGCAAATGCTACCCTCTTTACCAGTGAAAAGGTAATGCCTGCTGAAGGTCCCCTCTGGTTTTTGAGTTTTAGGCTATTTTGTCTTTCCTGTTTTGCTCTTTTACTTATTTGTTTATTTGTAGTGATAAATTCAACATAAATTCAACCTTGTCAGCGATTCCAAAGCCATCCTGGAATAAAAAGACTTTTAGAATTCACCTGAACTCAATACTGGGAAAAACAATTGGCAACATACTGTTCCTACGGAAACTATATGAATGGGTCATGATTTCAGTAGAATTGAATTTGACTGAAAGGGGGGAGGGGAGGGAGAAACACACATTCTCTAGGAATATTGCTAAAGGACAAAATAAAGCTGACATTTTGTACTGCTTTAGAGATAAGACAAAAATTTAAGCCAGATAATGTATTTGGAGGGACAGACTTTGAAGATGGAAATCAGAACAGATCACTGAGGTCCTACGTGTTTAGTCAAAAAATCATTACAAAATTTGGCCATTTTGCCAATAATTAAGGATTTGGGGTTATGGATTGCTAATTCCTGCTGTGACTGTACATTACTCAGAACAGTTATTAGTTTAAACTGATCTAGACAGATACAAATAATAAAGTTACATAATAAAAACAGGGATGTGACACAGGGCAATAGAAATTTCTGCTTGGATGCCAGGGCACAATACAAGCATTCCTCAGAAATACTGCAGATTTGGATCCAGACCACCACAATAAAGCAAGTATCACAATAAAGCAAGTCACACAATCTTCAGGTTTCCCAATGCATGTCAAAGTTACGTTTGCACTATATTGTGGTTTGCTAGGTGTGCAATAGCATTATGACTACATACCTTAATTAAAAAATTAAAATTATTACTAAAAATGCTAATCATCATTTCAGCCTTCAGCAAGGAATCTTTTTGCTAGTACAGGCTCTTGTAAAACAAATCTGCAAATATCAATATCTGCCAAAGAGCAATAAAACAAGGCATGCCTGTACTTTGCAGATACTATTAATCTTCTGGCAACTGCCTTTCTTTCTACCATATCTCTGAATTCATTTTCCATTTCCAACATCTTTTTGTTAATAAATTCTTTCAAAATGGAAAACGTGTCATCTAGCGTTATCGCTGGTATGATTAGATGGCAGCGCATTGCATGATAATTTCAAACCAGGAAAAGAGCTACCTTTACTGCATAGGCATCTGCCTTTCGGTGAGTTACAGTCTGTGCCAGTAAGCTTCGCCAGCCCATGGGATCTTCTTTGTATGAAAGCTGCCCAGCTCTCAGTTTTACATAGAGGACACCATCCCTTGAAAGAATTGATCTGGGAGGGGAAAAGAGGCAACTATTGCGTTGAACTATTTTATTTATCCTTTTTGTACAAACAGTGCAAGAAGGTATGCCCTATAATTTAAGAATGGGTGGTACAGTACAAATATTTCTGTATACTAAGTATACTTCAATATAATACTAAATACTTCAGTATACTAAATACTTCAGTATATACAATAAAAGTCGGCTAGGGCAGCAGGGACCATGAAGCACAGAGGGCCAACAAGGCATACAAGGGAGAAGATAGTGGCTGGAGGGAATTAAAGTGCCCCTGTGGTCCTAAGCGTACACACTAAGTGCCTGAACTCTTATCATGTGACTGCGAGGGTGTCACAATAGTTGTAACTTTAAGGAACAACAATAAGTCTTGAGGGAATGGCAATAAGTTGAGTACTATCTGTAGCGTGCTTAAAAAGCAAACAGCTGTACTCCCCAAAGGTGCTTTTTCAAGAGGCACTTTCTGATTGACTGGATGACTGAGAATCTCCATAGACAAACAGCCATTTATATTTGGGTGCCAACATTTCCCCAGAGCCAGTAAAATTGCAAGACAGCATGCAACTATTCAGAATATTCACCATGACACTTACTTTAAATGATGAACCCCTTTGCTTAAATCAATCAGCAGTTCCCAATATCGGGGACCTTTTACTCTGATCTGGAAGCATAACAAATTGAAATTATAGGTATTGATAAGATTACAAAAAAAACTTCAAGTTCCTTATTTTAGAGGAAGTCCCCATACTTTCTAAAGAATCCCTCCTCCTGGCAAAGTCAAGGGAGTCTGATATAATGACGTATTGTCCTTGAAGAAAATATCTTCTTCTTAAACATGCATTCTCAGAAATGCTGGGGGGGGGGGGGGGGTTAGGAGCTACAGCTACATCTCAATCACTTTGCAAAACAGACTTGTCTTGCATACCTGCTTCAGTAAATGAAGTTCAGGGAGAAGGGTAGGTGCCATAAGTTCCTCAGATGTTTGTTCATACCACTGAGTTCCCTTTGAAATACAAAATCAATTAGTCAAAAATTATGATACGTAGAAGTAGAAAACATTCACAAACCCCATAAGCTTAGATGGAATGTATAGAGCCCCCATCTCAAATTACTACTTTTCTCATTACAGGCATGAAAGATGTTTCTCTAAATAGCATGAGATGGAACAATCAGGTTTCAAGAAAGCAGACGGATTACATGGAAAAATCTTCTAATTTTAAGATTTCCTGTCATGGGATATTTCTGCCATATAAGATTCTAGGGACAATGCTTTAATCTGTCCTCAGTACTACAAAATAACGAGCTGATCCTGCAGATATCCTCTATTCTTCAGAATCATATCCTTCATTTCATGTATTTATCTTACCAAATTATGTATGGAGTGTGGCTGTTCCTTTAAGTCAACCTTTCTTAACAAGATCTGGAGGACCCTAGAATACCACAAGAGATCAGAAGTGATCCTTTGAGAGATTCTGACTGGGAAAAAAGTCCCATTTTTAAAACTTTGCACTTTGACAATTATTATTGGATGATTACATCCACTACTTAACGATCACATTAATGTACTGTAAACTGTAGATATTTTTTTTATGCAGGATTTCCGTCAGATCTGGAAATTATTTCAAAGGTTATTCCAGGGTAAAAAGATTGAGCAGTCTGCTCCCTGGGATTAAGTTTTAGTGATGGATAGTGATTTAAATTGTACCAGCTACATAACAATTTTTGATAGTCTAATGTTTTACATTACATCAACAAGATATGTAATAACTGTAATGTTTTACAAAGATATTACATAACTTGGATTATTTATAGAAACATCCTTTTTCGTTTTGAGAAAGTTTTGATTTCCCAACTCAAAACAGCAATTGTGAATTACCATCCTTTCAAAGAATAGCTAGATAGCTTGGCTTTCTCCAGGTCAGCCAGCACTGTGCAGTAATTTCACCTGCCCTAACAAGTGTGAGCAACTGTGGAAGAGTTATCTTTCTCCACCCGCAATTCAGAGAATAAGACTTTTTTTTCTCCATGTGTCACAAAAGTTATATACCTGATAGGTAACCTCCAGCAAAGCATAGCAAGGGGTATCTGTATCTACATCCACAGGGACAAGGAGTCTGGGTTCAGCTGCCAGGACATATAGATGCCTCAGGGCTTGAAGGTGATACCTGTGCAGAAAAGAAATAATCTAGGCTTTGTCTCTTTCTGTACGAATCCATCCATCTCTCATTAATAGCCAAAGATCCATTTAAATGTCCTTTCCCTCCTATTTTTGGAGCGATGTGGTCTTGAGTCTGTGAATCATCTTTTTCAGAGTGATCCAAATTTCATAGTTATTGAGAAAAGGATTATGCTCTGGAGAGCCTTGAGAAGTTATCAAAGATAAATTCAGAATTAAAACTTCTGAAATTAGAATTTGTAGATTTGTATGGGTACAGGGCAGGCATATATGCACACCATAAACATTTCTGAGTTGTAACTTTTTTTTTTCTATGAGGGAACTAGAGAGATCGAGAACACATTTGTTCCTTAGCCAGAGGGCAATTGTGCTGGCATGGAGACTGATAGGTATTAGACCTTCAGTTTCATTTAACTGAAATAAAATATATGCTTCATTCAATTACCTAGAAAGATTCATTTTTAAAAACCTATAAAGCTTTTCACAAAACTGTTGTGGTTTTAGTGCATTAGTATTTATAGACTGCAGAGGCTGGGTATTTACCCAGAGTCATCTTGTGATAAGATGTGTAGACAGACAGACAGACAAATTTAATTAAATTTTAGAGTTGGTGAATATCATTGGCCAGTCTGGCACACAAAAATTCAATGGGACTATTCCGACAGTAGAACTTTAATGTCATCAGTTTAGATTCTGTCTCTCTTTGCATGTTGCATATGGGAAAAAATAAAAAATAAG